GTGTATTGCTGGCTTTCCTGCAGCTTCACCACCCCTGAATGAAAACGGCCCTCACAGCAGATAAAGGCCACGGAAAAGCCCACATTTTAGTTCTTTGCTAGATGTGTGGAAAAAAAAGAGCACAGTACATCCAACAAACCAGTTTCTAAAGTGCGTCCCGTTCTCGATAAGACAGGGGCATGCCTATTAATTTGGTTACGAGATTATGACTATCAAAAGACACATACAGATTTCAAAAGACTGAAGCTGAGGACAGGAAACCTTGGAAAAAAGCAGCTGCGGACCACGCAGTCGAAATAACCTTACAGATCAAAGTGTTCTTGTGGGAAGTCGGACGATACTCGCTCAGTGCCACCAACGCCGAGACCTTGTCTATACCATTTCGCTCAGATTACACCGAGTTGCTAGGATTTAGGCCGACCGCAGTACTTTCTATGAAAGCCGGCAAAAGCATGTGCAAGCACATAATGGAGGTGCGCGCATTAACGGCCACGAAGCCTTATCAAGTCCCCTGGACCTCTGAGAATCCCATGTGTGCGAGCATGTTGACCGGAGTTGCAACCATTTGAACCATGGATAAACGCACAACACGAAAATGGTGCAATTCAACTAAGATGCATAATAAAATTAAAAAACCGCGAAGAGGAGAGATTGTGAAAACCTGTCCATCCATAATTTCGACACGGCTACTAATTGTATAGCGCACGGTGACGGAAAATGTGAGTTTATTCAACGCAACTGGTTACAGTCTCGCATACACCCTAAGTTTTTTGATGAACGTTTGAATACAATGTGAAGATGCGGGCAGTATGTACTACACACTAATGCAAAAAGTGCTAGCGAGACAAAAAATCGGCGAGGCTTGAAGATTAAGTCAACTCACCTTAGAAAGCGATTCAGCACATAAAATAAGACGGCATGTTTGCATGTACTTTTCCATGGTTCGCCGAAGGGAATGCTGGGCGTCGCGTGTCAGTCTGTCAACTTCGTGGATAACCACAACTTTGAATTCTCTTTGATGGACACTTTCGAGCTGTGCAGTGGAGGCCATGTTCTTTATCAACTCTTGAATGACGATCCTATCATAAATGCCGACGTCACTAGGAGATAAATGAAGGGTTCGTACGTTAAAAACGGTGCACAGAGAATTGTGTGAGAAAGTATGACGTAAAAAACCACCAGGCATAAGAGTACGTTGCCAATCCATACGACGTGTAGAACCACTAACCTTAGTCTCACTTTTCCTATCCTCTGCTCGTAGCCCAGGTCAAGTTGTCTAAGTAGAAGGCGACCGCCACTAACCCCCTCCCTTTCGAAAGTGAGCACAACTTTAATTGTAGTGAGGGAGACTCATGCAGCTCCTACGTAACTTTTTTACATCCATGTTACAGTAACGAGACCAGAGAAGACGGACATGGACGCAATGCCTGACCTTAGCTAAAGCTAGTCTCTGCGCGCGACACTGGCAGGCCGACCATCGTTTCCGGGTGGGGGCAGCGACAGCGACTTGCGCGTGAATCATTTGTAGAGACATTAAGCCTGCGCAGCATCTATCACAGTCTCCTAACTTCCGGTGTTAAGGGAACCGGAGGCGGGAGTGGGCACAGGTGGCTGACACAGCGAAAACCCGCACCTAGGCACACCACCACACACCATGGATACGCAGGAAGCAACCACCTCATTCAGCGGTTGTGCGCCACAGGGATAAACATTAATGGATCATAGATGAGTAACACCTACACAGCATCAGCCCCATTCCTCATACTCCTATGTTGCATGTGTCCATAAAACGGGCTCCGCAGTAGATGCGCTGGACTAGACCACGTCCAGCGGGCGTTATTTGGGATGCGCACCCATAACAAATTACAACGTTGGGGATGTAGCGGCGTGCCAAGGTGCAAGCACGCGCCGCGCCAGTTTGGGTCCGCGACGCCCGCCTTTTTCTTGTAGTGCAAAATCCCGGTAAGTGTACGTTGCGGACCAGAGGGTGTGGTGACACGCTCGGCTGCGGGTTTTCGCCGCACCAGCCGTCTGCGCCCTCCTCCGCCTCTGCACTTCCCAAATCCATCATGACATCAGACCCAGATAGGGGAGGAGTGTAACAAATATGCTCGAGTCTACTAATACTATAAGCTAATTAGCAAGCAAGTCTACGTCCCTGTTCTCAACCTGCTATGGAGCATATAGTGAAGATCGTTGGAAACGACGGTCAAAATGTCATGTAGAGCGATCACGACACCGCCACCCCTTGTGGGGGGTCGCGTTCGATTTTAGTCCGGAGAGCAGACGTGCGTCAGGCTCGATCTAACTCCGGTCACTGAACATGTGGAGTCTAATAGGAGTATGAATGGTTATTGAGCCCGTCTCGGGCCGAAGGCAGTTTTAAAATACTACGGAACTAAGGGGTAGAAACGTCACTGGAAACTAAGTAGACAGAAAATACTCCAGCACCAGCCTAGGGAGACAAAGCGGTAATGAGATGTAGGGCGAACGATTACGCAATAACCTGACAATATCCTAGCATATGACTGGCTCGTCTCAGGCATAGGCGTGTTGGTGACGGCGATGTGAAGGCACAATGCTTGTGTCAGTGTTAGCAGTGAGCAGGGGCCATGAGCGGACCGTGAGTGGGCGTGCCCGAATTCGGCTACTGGCAGTCATCTATCACAGCCAATATCACTAGTGGACAAATCCTTCGCAAGCGACCGGCCTCGACATCGACGATAAGTGTAGCACAGGCTATGTCCATACGCCTGCACCCTACACATTATAACTTGTGCTCGACATTTCCAATTATGTGACTGTTACAAGGCCTGTGCATAGTCTCTCGGCTATGTTTCCTTCAGTAAGACGCAGTGACCAAGGTCGGCCAATCGGTATGCAACATGCTAATAGCACGAAAAAGCTGCACAGTTATTAGCAGAGTGCTAGGTATTGTTGATGCATGAAGTACACGAATAGCACGAATTACCTTGGATTGACTTCGAGGTGGTAGTTGCTTGATGCTGTAGACAACTCTATCTTCTTTTTCGAGGGTGTCAAAAAACTATGATGTTCGATGCGCAATTTATCGACTCCAGGACCATAGAGTTCCCGGAGTAAGCAAGTAATGCGAGTCTTTTTGCCAGACCCGGGTGGACCATAGAACAAGAGATGAGGAAAGTCACCACTGCTGACCTGAAGGGAAGTGTTATGTGACAGATCTTACCAGCTTCTTCAAAGTTGCGGCGCCTTCCAAATGGAAATCAAGCCTGGAAAGACTGGTAGGTCTGTGTTTGTCCAGCCACAAAGTCATCCCTTTGTAAAGCGGGTTGATGTCCGAGGTCAGACTAGCTCCTAAGAGGGAATTACAAGGCAGGCGGAACTAATGGCAACAGCGAGCACCAGGCAACGACATTCAAATGAGCGACGACGGGAAAAGAAGTGAGTAGATCGAAACGCGTTTATTCTCGTCTTGGTCACAACTTTAAGTCAAGCGCGCTTTTTCCTCCAGCCCGTTCCAAGCCTCCGACTCGTCGGTGTCGGTTTTGGTCGGGCCAGCCAGGACATTCACTGGCTGTCTCCCCACAGGGAAAGAATGGAACTATTTACAAACATTAGGTAAAATCTTATTGTGTTACACTGCCTCCCATCCAAGAGGACACTGTCCGCAGTGTTTCTAGCCTACTATCCCTGAAAGTTCGATGCAGATATTTCAACCGTCTGCGCTACCGGGGGAAGGGAACCGGAGGGGACAAGTGAGAGAGGGGAATCGGGAGGTGGTCCGCAATCGGGCGCTGGCTTGATCTGATTGTAGTGGACGGTGAGAACATCGGCGAAAGGTCTCTGCGGGTCGCGAAGAACAAACGTGTCGGGGAAGGGTTGGTAAACGATAATATACCAGCCTTGCCACGGCCGGTAAAACTTTGCAGCAGCCCCGAGGGGCGGTCGCGGCCTGAACAGTAACACGGAATCGCCAACATGATATTCTGGCCCAGCTCGGTGTCGGTCGTAGCAAGTTTTCTGATGCTGTTGGGCCATTTGGATGTTGCCAGCAGCCTGTCTGTATACCGTGACAAGTCTTTCTTTGAGAGCTCGTGTGTATTCCCCCATACTAAGGGACTCGGCGGGTATAAGTGACGAGTGAATAGCTGCCAGTAATCGAAGCTCATAGCCGAGCTGGAGCAACGCGGGAGAAAATCCGGTTGAGTCGTGGACGGCGGTCCGATACGCTAACAGGCACTGCGGTAAGTGTTCGTCCCAGGCATCAGATGACTCGCGATCAACGAATTCAGATAAAATTCGCTTGATCGTCCTGTTCGTGCGTTCGACCAGTCCATTTCCTTCGGGATGATAAGGAGTAGTCCGTGTTTTCTTGATCTGCAGTAACGAGCATAATTCGGCCAGGAGATGGTTCTCAAACGCCGTGCCTCGATCGGAATGGATTATCGTGGGCGCCCCGTAACGGCTAATCCAATCGTTGAGGATGGCTGCTGCGACTGACTTTGCGTCCCGAGTTTGTAATGGTACGGCCTCGCAACACTTGGTGAAGTAGTCAACCATCACCAGTATGAAACGTTTACCACGACGAGTGGTCGGCAGCGGTCCAATTATATCTACACCAATCCGGTGATTAGGTCCGTCCACAGCAATAGGATGCAGCAGGGCTCGTGGTGCGGGAGTCGGCGACTTTATCTGAGCGCAAACTTAGCACGCAGTGCAGTAGGACACCACGTCCTGATGGATAGTCGGCCACCAAAAGCGCCTGCGAACGGCTGCTTCTATTTTGCGTTGGCCCGCGTGTTCGAGTTGATTATGAATGTTACCTATGGTATCTCGTACCTTCGCCTTCGGCATCACGAGTCGCAGTGGCTCATTAGCGCCACTATGTAGGAACAAGACTCCGTCACTTATGCGCAATCTGACCCAACTAGCCCACAGTGCTCGCGCTGCGGCGGACTTTTCTCTCATTTCTCGGCCGGTCGGCTTTCGAGACCCATGCAGCTGCCGGTCATATATGTCGCCGAAATCCGGGTCCTCAGCTTGCAGGATGGCCCACTGTTGCACGTCGTCGACCGTCACAATGGCATTGACAGCCTCATCGGATGAAGTCAGGCGTCGTGAAAGAGCGTCGGCGTTCTGGTGTCTAGCGCCTGGACGGTATACACAAGTAAAGTCATATTCTTGCAGTTGTTCTTGACAGCGCGCTACTTGCCCTTCTGGATCGCGAAAGTTTTGCAGCCAATGCAGAGCATTATGGTCTGTGCAGACCACAAAGTGGCGACCCAAGGGGTAAGGGCGAAAATACTTGAGGAAATATACCAGCGCTAACATCTCTCGACGAGTGGTGCTATACGGTCGCTCCTCTTTGCTCAATTGCCTGCTTGCGAACGCTATCACTTTCTCATCACCGTCGGCAGTCAGCTGAGACAGGACAGCTCCGATGGCTCTATCGTTGGCATCAGTATCGAGAATAAACTCACCGGCAGATGAAGAAACATCCGGGAGGCTGAGAATCGGAGGGGATGTCAAAGCACGTTTAAGCTGATCGAAAGCTGCCTCACACTCTTTAGTCCACAGGAAAGGCCTAGACTTTTCGGTCAGCCGGTGAAGGAGTGAGGCGATGCCAGCGAACCCACGAACAAATTTCCTGTAGTAGGATGCAAGACCGAGAAAACTACGGACTTCCTGGCTCGTCTTGGGTGCCGGTCATTCACATATGTGGGATATCTTGTCTGGATCTGGGTGTATACCCGAGGGCGACAGGATGTACCCAAGAAGCAGGGTCTGGTTCTGCAGAAGTTTACATTTATCTGTCCGTAGAACAAGAACCGCATCTCTCAGTCGCAATAAAACCTCCCGGAGGTGTGCATTATGCTCCTCAACCGTCTTTCCGTGGACTATAATATCGTCAAGGTAAATCAAACAGGCCGTGGGGGTTATGTCACGGAGCACCGTTGTCATAAGCCGTTGAAATGTGGCCGGAACATTCACCAGGCCAAAAGGCATCATATTGAACTCATAGAGGCCAGAGGGCACCACAAAGGCCGTTTTCGCCCAATCAGCTGGGTGAACTTCAACCTGCCAATAACCAGATGCGAGATCTAGAGTAGAGAACGACGCAGCTCCTGACAGAGCATCAATGGTGCCATCGATGCTGGGCAGCGGAAAAGAGTCACGTTTGGTTACGGAGTTTCGCCGCCGGTAATCGACACATAAGCGGAAAGTCCCATCCTTCTTCTTAACGAGAACAATAGGCGACGCCCAAGGGGAAGAAGATGGTCGTATAATACTTCTGTTCAACATATCTTGAATCATTTTCCAGATCCTTTTGATAATAAATAGGAATACGCCGAGGAGCCTGGCGGATAGGTCGGGCGTCCCGAGTCAATGCAGTGCTGATGGACTTTTGTGTGCCCCAAAGATGTGTTATTGACGTCGAATTGAAAGGCAAACTCATATAGAAGCCGAACAACAGCTTGATGTGATGACTCGTCAATTACAGACCCAGAGAGGAGAGGGGTCCACCACGGTCCGTCATTAATCACTGCGAGGGTGTCTGCCAGGAAAACCTCGGTGCCGTCCAGGCAGATTCTGAGGGGAGAGAGCTCAATAGAGGCGTGATGGCGATCTAGGAACTCCATACCCAGAATCACGTCCCACTGGATGCGCGCGCATACGAAGGTGTGTTCCGTCATAAAATCCCCTATGGTCACGGAGCAGCACGCTTGTCCGTCCGGACAGAGAACAGAGCCGTTGGCCGCCGAAAGCTGGTCAAGTCGGGGGGAAGGGTCGTAGTTCACCCACCGAATGTTCGAACAAATCACAGAACAAGAAGCGCCCGTATCCAACAAAAACGAAACCATACGACCATTAAGGGTGCCCGGTATGGTTCCCTACCCCCGTATTCACTTTCCTCTGACGACCTACGCGCCAGCGATCTCAGCTGAGAAAGCTTATCATGAGCAGATGAGCGTTTCGGAGATAAAGAACTCGTGCTTCGAGCCTGCAAATTCGATGGTGAAATGTGATCCCACCGCTGCCACCAATTTGTAGCGTGGGTTGATGTCCGAGGTCAGACTAGCTCCTAAGAGGGAATTACAAGGCAGGCGGAACTAATGGCAACAGCGAGCACCAGGCAACGACATTCAAATGAGCGACGACGGGTAAAGAAGTGAGTAGATCGAAACGCGTTTATTCTCGTCTTGGTCACAACTTTAAGTCAAGCGCGCTCTTTCCTCCAGCCCGTTCAAAGCCTCCGACTCGTCGGTGTCGGTTTTGGTCGGGCCAGCCAGGACATTCACTGGCTGTCTCCCCACAGGGAAAGAATGGAACTATTTACAAACATCAGGTAAAATCTCATTGGGTTACAACTTAAATAATTAAATAAGGCGCGAACTGAAAAGGCTAGCTCAAACTTCAAGACACGGGAATCCGATGATTATTAATATTTCGACGCTTTTTTACAATAGCACATGATGGAAGAGATTCAGAGAAGACGTTCAATGGATCAGTGGCATTGTTTAGAGAAGAATAATAAATGACGACCATTAAAGCGACAGTTGCACATGTTATTTAATCTTGTGACTATTAAAATAAGCAAAATGAAAAAAGGCGAACTAGCATAGCTGCAAGCAAAGATGATCCAGGAAGAGGAGATACTGCTATAGTATGATAAAAAACAATGCGTAGGGAAAATACGACAATAATATTATGAAAATTTGTAGGTAACTAGGAAAAAACACTTGTCCGGATGAGGGGCCGAAAATAAACTTTTCAAATGACTTTATAAGAAATATCAAGCCAACCACTAGTGGGGTCGACGTAGCTACTATTAGACAGTATTCGCCAATTAGAAATGAGTGGACAATGATCTCTCGCCGCCAAGGACCTTTTGTAGATATTTACAAAGCTCGTGGAATCGCAGCCGTTTATTTTCAATTCTTAAGCGACCAAAAGCATTACCCAAACAAAGTTAACAATGAGTCGGTTGATATCATTAAGCAATTAAGACAATAACATTCTACGTACTAGTGAGTTAGGGAATGCCATATCCCCAGTGGGCGTTTATGTTCTGGTCCTTCGGGTGGCATCGCGCTGACACTTTCCCATAATATCTAACGAATGGTCATTCAGTACCACATGTTCGCGGAGATATCGGTCCTTGCGTGCATCTTATTCCAGGCTGTTTCACTGACTTCGAATCTGACACAGTTTCCTTTGTCAGCGAGCGAATCGGCGTCTGAAACTTCCTACGTACTGTCACGGGTTCCTTTCCGTAGCTTCTCCTGTTTGGACTCCTCCTCCTCCCCCTATTCCTTAACATAGTCATCATCCTCTAGTGCCCACAGATGTTCTAGATTTGTGTCCATGCGGTTACCAAGATTCCACCTCTACTCAGACCTCCGTGACTTTATAGTGCTTGCCTTAATTGTTGCCTTGTTACCTTAAGGACACTAACTATAATGTAAACATTGCAGCCTCACCGAGGAATAAAGGCGTCCATCTGTCAAAAATTCTGCACTGTCTATTTCCCTTGTTACCCGTATACAGTAGATGACCTTACTCATGAGATGTCGCGGTCGGTAATAAACTTTGTGGGACGGCATATATTTGGTGTGATAAGTTTTACTTTTAGAATTCACTGCAATCCCAAAAATCCGTTCTAAAGGAATAATTCATGTCAGGTCTGTTTTGGTGAGGGGAAACATGTCAAGATAATGCAACTTAAGACACTTAAGACACTCGATGAATACGCGCGAATCTTTCAAGGTGTTCTCGTACCATTTCTGTCTCCATCCGCACGACTTATTATCAAAATGGCCACAGGACTGTCATAATTGAGGTCACCCATCTGACATCCGTACGAAGTATGCATTCACTGGCTCACGCGTTTGTCACCTCTTGCGAGAATTTCGGCCTCGTCGAATTTGAATGTGTGGCCGGATCTCGTCGAATGAACAGCAACTTGAGAGCTGGCGTAATTCCTCCGCACCGCTGCAGCGTGTTCGGCCATTCTCGTTCTGAGCTGTTTTCCGGTTTCTCAGACGTAGTTGCTTTGTCCGCAACTGCACCCTATCCGATAAACGACACCAGACGTTCCTAGCCATGGCAGCGGGTCTTTTGGTTTCATTACCTGACGCTTGATGGTTGCCTCCGGTGTGACTGTAAACATCACTTATAAGTCACCACTCCCATGGTTTGGGATTTCCTTCCCTTCATGACTAAATGCAAACCTACCAGCGGTGCTTTATTCTAAATTCGTTATTTTTTCACTGTCGCGCTCACTTTCTCTGCCGAATGAGAGCGTACGATAAGACTTTCGGCAGAAATTTATCTGCTTTCTGTGTCTTCTTGCTTTCCGTCCTGCGTGTTGCACCACCCGTAAAATCTTCTCTACCACCATTCAACGTATGACACGGTCCACAGTTTAGCTCGATTTAGTTGTGAGTTCTACACCCTGTCCTTACTGGATGGAGCTTCACTGGCGCGACCTGGTGCCTGATGAGACTGTGTGCGGACTGTTCTATTTCCATCAGTCGTTGCGCCCAATCCCAGCATCTGATGACCGACAGGCTTGGACAGTTAACTAATGTGAGGGAGTGGAGAAAGTTCGCCCGACTCTAGGGAACCCGATCCCACGGCACATTGGTGTGTTTTTCACCATAATAAATTTAACAGTTTTGAAACTATCATCACATGCTAAAGGTTGTGGCTTAGGAGGCTGCCAGGTTGCAGGAAAAATCGTTCATCGTAGGCAGTGCTGTGTGTATGCAGCTGTGCCGAGTGGCTGGCTGATGGACCGAGAGTCAGGTTCAATGATTTCTTCCTAATCTGACCGTTATAGCACCCTCGCGGACGCGAGATCTGAGCCGCTCCTGGTGGCTTATGCTTTTGGCCAGGTTACGCGTGGCACGCCAACACGAACTTGTGGGGTTCTATCAGCCGTTGCGCACAACCCCATCGTCAGATGACTGATCGGCTCGGACAGTCGGCTGGTGCACGGGAGAGGGAAAAAAGAATGAAACCAACAGGGGTAAATGCATGCCCACGACACGTCAACGCATTAAGCTCTACAATAAACCTGATGAGCACTGAAAATAATTACAATGCGCTAGAAGTAGTGGCATGAAAGACTACCAGCCGACACAATAACTCGGCTCTCGTAGCCAGTACCGTATGTATGTGGAGTGACTGGCTCGAAAACTAGGATCCATGCTTAACGCTCATTCTTGATGTGACGTGAGATTTGAGCCGCCCTTCATTTTGTAAAAATCTGGTCCTGCGTGAGAGGTGGGGGTTGTGTCAGCATTTTTTAAAAATGGAAGCCTGATAGGTGAGGGAGGAAAGGGTGCAGCATGTGCTGCGCAAGTCTGCAGCACAATAAAAGGAATAAAGTGCAGGTCACGGTTCTGGACCCACTCCGTGGGACACACGGTGGACTTCGTCGTTCGCGGCGGTTGAACTGTCATGTCAGGCCAAACCCCAGTGGAAATAATCACTATTTCCTTTTAAGACGTCCAGTAAGTTCACTAACTTCCGGATTAATGTGCAGATTACTGTCAGGGGAAGTATATGCTAGGGGCGGATAAATATCAAAGACTCCGGTTTCGAATCCCAGGTGATCTATGCTAGGGATTAGGCACGACTGGCCGATGATGGCTGTTATGTATGCAAAACGGAAGGGTAACTGGAAATAGGACGTGTACTGAGTACGATAGATAGCACAAGTGAGGAGGCTTTGGGAAACGTCCGGGCATATGGCACGGGGGACTGTCACAGGCTGATGGGTGGCCAATCAGCACAAATAAGGTGTGAACAGGAGTCATGACCTTGATCGTTCGCTTGTCACGTATTTTTGGCATGATACCCTGACGGCCCGGACAGGATACGCTGCATCCCTGCACCCTAAAGTGGAGAGCATGAGGAGGAGGGGAGGAGGGGTAACAGTAAAGGTAATAATGGATACTTAGACAATGTTCTAATAAGATTCGTCCTGAAAGCGTTGGACAGGTTTGCGGATTCGTGTCGATATTCTCAGGGCGGTATTTTCTACGTCTGCGCCGCTTTGTGCAGTCACTGGCTCCTCTGCCCCTAAGCTAGTGCTGGCCGGGGCAGAAGGAGGAGGAGGAGGAGGAGGAGGAGGAGGAGGAGGAACATACGCCTCGGTCGGTGGCGTAGTGCTCTGTGCAGGCAGTAGGTGTTCAGTCCTCGGGATGTCAGGATCCCTATCAAGGGTTGCTGGCGGTTCGAACTTTCCAAACTCTCCGCTTTCTTTGTCCGTCCGGCTGCGAACTTGGTCCAGATGTCGACGCACAATTCTCTCATCTTCTAACTCTAATTCCACTATTTGCCCCTCGCTTTTTCGAACTACCGCTGGACACCAGTACTTTTCGTGTTCCAGTCGCGTGTAGACACTTTCGTTAGGTGCGACGACTCGTGGTCGGGTGTTCACAGCATATCGTGCTTTCATCTTCGTCTATTTTGCAATGACTCTATCATGCGTTGATGGATTAAGCAGGTCGAGTCGTGTGCGCAACTGCCGCTTAAACATCAATTCTACAGGCGAAGCACCAGTTAAGTCGTTTGGTGTTATACGATAGCTGAACAGAAAGCGTGACAACTTGGTGGCCAAGTCCGCTTCCGTCTGTTTGACTAGTCCGTGCTTTATTGTCTGGACTGCACGCTCTGCGAGGCCACTAGAAACAGCGTAGTACGGAGCAGTAGTTAAATGTCTAACTCCATTTTTCTCCGTGAAGTCTTTAAATTCTGCACCAGTAAAGGCTGGGCCATTGTCTGAAACGAACATTTCAGGTATCCCAAAAGTAGAAAAAACGGTTCGCAACTTGTTGATTGTAGTCAGTGAGGAACAAGAATTTCCAGTCGGAATCGCATCAATCAATTTAGTGTGGGCGTCAACTACCACCAAAACCATATGGCCTTGGAATGGCCCAAAATAATTGACGTGTACCCTTTTCCACAGCGATTCGGGCCAGGCCCAAGGCTTCAGAGGAACCTTCGGTAAGGTCTTCTGTGTTATTTGGCACACGTGACATGCTTTCACCACGGTTTTTATATCTGCGTCAATTTTGGGCCACCAAACATAGCTGCGGGCGAGAGCTTTCATTCTAACTGTACCAGGATGAGCATTATGCAGGCCTCACCTGCGTCGCCAATGTTATGTATGCAGAACGGAAGGGTAACTGGAAATAGGACGTGTACTGAGTACGATAGGCAGCACAAGTGAGGAGGCTTTGGGAAACGTCCGGACATATGGCAAGGGAGACTGTCATAGGCTGATGGGTGGCCAATCAGCACAAAGAAGGTGTGAACAGGGGTCATGACCTTGATCGTTCGCTTGTCACGTGTTTGTGGCATGATACCCTGACGGCCCGGACAGGATACGCTGCAATGGCTAATAAGCCAGAAATGATCCTTTCGGACTCCCGTGTCTTTGTCAATAATGCACTGTCTAAAGGCGCTACTAGTCATTATGCGGCTATTTGAGAAGGCTCTAGATTGAGCTCTAATACACAACGGAACGAACACGTTCCGTAGCCCGATCGGTGAACGCCTTTCTTCTATAGTATGCTAAATCGATTGGCGTTAATAAAAAAATAATAGGAACAGTAGGCTGAACTGTAAGTTAGAAGGAAAGGCCAATGGAATCAGATTGTTTAAGATTTGCGATGACACCTTTGCAAGCATTAATGAAGTCCAGTTTGGAAAACGCACGCTTTCGATTATTCGTCGTCCTGCCTGTACAATATACGTCGAACGTAAAGGCGCCTATCCAAGCGTATGCGAGAGCATCACTCTTAGTAGGAACAACGATTTTTGCAGAAACAGGGTTTAACTGGTCGCTTAAAATGGCTGTCACGCATAAATTTTGATAAATTCTTATCAATTTCAACCACATCATTTTTATTTTGATCAGAATAGTGACAGTTCACTGGCATGTTTGCCTAGACACTGTGTAGAAGCAAGGACAAATTAGGTCTGCTTGAAATTTCTGCGCGCCCATTCAAAATATAGTATTGTCACGAACCTACCCAGTCAACGGTACCTTTTTGCTACTCAATACTTTTATTTCCTTTTTCAGGGCCACGTTCAACGCCCACAAACAACCAGAACAATCACCAGGGTCCCGCTAATGACCAATTTGTCTAATGTCTCCCCTTGTTTATGTAGCCGGCTGCGTTCCCCCCTTTCGTAATCTCATTGTTAGGATTTAAACTACTCTTATCCATTTTACCCCCCCGCTTCCGTACCCCTTTATTATCTAACTCGTTATTATAATAGTATCCCATTCAGACTATATCCTTCTAATGTTTGATGTGTGGCGTCTGCATGCCGATCACTGAGGCACTAATACTCACTCCCCCCGTAGGTCGTCACATATTTGGTGGCAACGTTTCTTGATTTTTCTCCCACCTTTTTTTTTCTTTTCTACCGCACCTTTTTTTCGGACTTCATTATTCCCGTTCGGTACTACATTTCATCCGCATTTTTCTATACGTCCGTACCAACTAGACCGCACCCCCCCCCCCCACCATGCCGAATACTCGATCCACCTCCGATGCCCACTCCTCTAGCATCGACCAGCTAACCGCCGTCTTAGGCAACCTTCTCACACGCACATCTCCAGTGGCCCTGGATTCCCTTAGACCCCCAATATACGAGGTCGGCGACAGCTTCTCGGACTGGCGAGTTCAGGCCGAACGCTACCTGGTACATTTACCGGCCGACCAACGAATGGACCATATTACGGGTCTATTGGGTCCAACCGCCAAAAGACGCCTCAATTATCTGTGCGTCTCACCCCCTACAACCATCAGCAACCTATGGGCGACGCTGGAAAGCCTTTTCGGTGCCCAGGAACCCCTCATCGCCCTTCACAACCAATTTTGCCTTCGCACACAACTGCCCGGGGAAAATGCGGACTCCTACCTAGACGCCCTCTTCAGTCTCGGTAGCAGGGTCTTCCCAGACTCCCAAGTCTCCGACCAGGTCTTCTTACGATTCGTGGGCGGTCTCCGTTCAGAAGACATCAAACGGGAGTTTCGCATCCGACCCCCTGCAAACCTCCTCACAGCCCTACAAACGACAAGGATATTCGAGTCCGCCCCACCACAACAAGAACCTCGCCGTGCTCCCAGCAGTCCCCAGGGGCAACTCAGAGTATCCGATCGAAGACCGTCTTTCTCTCGTGCGACCAACAACACGAACGACTGCTGGTACTGCCAGCAGTTCAAGGATCGTGCTCGCAAGTGCGGTCACAACAACCCTGCCGGTAAGACTCCTCCTACTATCTTGCCCCCTATTTCCTCCTCGCTACCCACAGATCTCCCGCTGACAGTCACTGGCACACTTGATGGAACCCCCGCCACCATTCTTATTGACACTGGCGCCATCCGGTCTGTGTTGCGGTCTCCCCATATTCCCATTACACACTCCCCTCCTTCAGACATTCAGTTAGTCACAGCTGATGGTTCACCCCTGCGTTGCACTGGCACACGGCAAGTATCCATTGTCCTCCCCATCTGCACTGCCGTACATCCCATGCTAGTCTCCCCGGACATTAGAGTTGACGCCATTGTCGGGTTAGACATTCTCCGCGCTCACCAGCTTATCATCGACCCCAACAACCCGGCCGCAGTTCTGTTTTACATATCAGCCATCTCCAACATCTCCGTGGATTTCAGTACGCTAGACACTACCCCACCAAATGAACCGACGTCCATTGACGATCTGTTGACCCGTCAAGAAATCCCCGTCACCTACCTCCGTCGCCTAAAGGATACCCTTCTCCCATTCCAGAGCGTGTTCACCTGGGCTGGACAACCGATCGGGGGCACTGGACTGTTTCAGCATGCCATAAACACTGGTGCCGCCGCACCACAACGGCAACCCGCTCGCCGAATACCCATCCATTACCAAACGGAGCTTAACAGCATAATTTCAGACCTCCTTGCGCAGGGCATCATTGAACCCTCCAACTCCCCATGGGCTGCCCCGGTTACGCTTGTTAAGAATAAGGACGAACACCTACGGCTATGCATCGACTATCGCCAGTTGAACAAAGTCACCGTGCGCGACTCGTTTCCGATCCCGCGTATTGATGACACTATCGACGCATTAGTCGGTGCGTCTTGGTTCGCCAGCCTCGACCTCTCTCATAGTTACTGGCATATAGAGGTCCGACCGTAGCACCGTCACAAGACGGCGTTCATCCTACCCACCGGGCTCTACCAATTTAACACTCTGCCCATGGGTCTTGCGGATGCCACAGCCACGTGTCAAAGGTTGATGCAGTTCGTCCTGAGAAACCTATTACCACAGTCCTGTCTCGTCTATTTGGATGACATTATTATCCACGGCAAGTCCGTCAGCCACCTCCTCCAAAACTGGAGCCTAGTACTCCAAGAGTTACAGGCAGCAGGACTTACGATTAACCCCAAGAAGTGCCATTTCCTGCAATGACAAGTGACCTACCTTGGACACGTAGTAGACGAAACTGGCATCACCCCTGATCCGGAGAAAATTCGGCAGGTACTCGACTGGCCGACACCACAATCACAAACGGATGTACGGTCGTTCTTGAGATTGGCTTCCTATTACCGTCGTTTCATTTACGGTTTCGCGAATATCGCCCTTCCGCTACATCGCTTAACGGAAAAGGGTCGTTCTTTTGTGTGGGCGACAGAATGTACACAAGCCTTCTTAACCCTCAAAAACGCTCTAACTTCCGCCCCCATCCTTGCGCTCCCAGATGGTGACGTGCAAAGCCCACCCTTCATCCTCGATACTGACGCCAGCGGATTTGCTATTGGCGCAGTCCTCAGCCAGATCGCTGCGGATGGACATGAGCACGTAATAGCGTACGCCAGTCAATGTTTGGACAAGGTGCAACGGCATTACAGTACCACACGGCGGGAAATGCTAGCCCTCGTCACCTTTGTCAAGAAATTCCGACACTTGCTGCTCGCTAAAAACTTCATCGTCCGCACCGACCACCAAGCCCTCAAATGGCTCCGGAATTTTAAAGATGCAGAAGGACAAGTCGCCAGATGGCGGGAGCTACTTGAAGAATTTGACTTTGAAGTTCAATATCGCCCTGGGAAACGTCACAATAACGCCGACACTCTCTCCCGTCACCACTCCCCTCGACGAGGACACCAAACGACGCCTTTCCTGTGGCAGCTATCCAAATATCACAGGCAGCCCAGGAGCAATGGGCTCAAATGCAAGCGTCCGATCCCAATGTATTCCTCATCTATGACCGCCAGTTACATGGATCCCCTAAACCCACCGCCCGCGAAATGGAGAGCCTCAGCTGGGAGGCCCATTGTCTCTGGTCTATGTGGCCCTTCCTCCGTCTAATCGACAACATCTTGTTCTTCCAGCATCACCCCTCTCTTCCCAACCGTCTAGTGGTCCCTCGCACTCTTAGGCCCCAAGTCATCCGTGCTACCCATGAAGAACTGGCACATTGCGGCCAAGCCAAGACCCTCGCCGCGGTTCGTCAACGATATTGGTGACCCGATCAGCGACGCGACGTAGTTTCTGTCTGTCAGACGTGCCAAACTTGCGCTCAAATCAAGGACCCTGTAGTCCGTCCCCGGGCGCCACTGGAACCAATGTCGGCAGGCTTCCTCAACCACCGCATCGGCTTAGACATCATCGGACCTTTATTTCAGACTAAGAAAGGCAATCGCTTCATTTTGGTTATCGTCGACTATTTCACGAAATGGTGCGAAGCCATTCCACTCCCAAACTCGGAAAGTTTAACTGTAGCAGCGGCTCTAGTCGATCACTGGGTCGCTCGCTATGGGTCCCCCTACATCATCCACACGGATCAAGGAACCGCATTCGAAAACTACCTATTCCGTGCCCTATGTCACCTCCTCGGCATAGTCAAAACGCGCTCCTCACCTTTCCACCCAGCCGGAAACGGTCAGACGGAACGCACGAACAAGACTCTCATGGCGTTCCTCCGCAACATGGTTGATCAGTCCCGTGCAGATTCCTGGGACGATCTTCTTCCCCGATGCCTTTTGGCCTACCGCGCCACCATTCACTCCTCCACTTCATTTAGCCCCCACATGATGCTTTTCGGACGCGACTTGCGCCTCCCGTCTGACTAACTATCCCACACGGCACCCCGGAAATGGCACAACCACACCGGTATCTCGAGCAGCTCATTGACTCCGTACAAACCATTCGCACCACAGCCAGAACGAAGCTTCAGGCTGCACACTCCCACCAGAAGGATTATTATGACCATCTGGCACACGGAACTCAATACGAACCCGGCGACCGTGTTTGGTTGCACAACGACCAACCCCCCGCAGGGTACGCCAGTAAGTTTCATCGTCAGTGGTCTGGACCCTATATCGTCCTTCGACCGCTCTCTAATTCCGTCTGCCGCATTCGCCTAGAATCTGATCCCTTCGGCCGGATTATCCAGGTGCATTTCAATCGGCTCAAACCATGTTTATCAGAGTATCAGCCCTCCCAACACCCCGTTCCATCGACCTCCCACCCGACCACATCCCTCACCACCCTTTACACTCCACCATCACCCCGCAACGTCACTCTTCGTACAACTCGCGCTGAGGACAGCGCTCAATCCTGATGGGGGGCTGTGTCACGAACCTACCCAGTCAACGGTACCTTTTTGCTACTCAAAACTTTTATTTCCTTTTTCAGGGCCACGTTCAACGCCCACAAACAACCAGAACAATCACCAGGGTCCCGCTAATGACCAATTTGTCTAATGTCTCCCCTTGTTTATGTAGCCGGCTGCGTTCCCCCCTTTCGTAATCTCATTGTTAGGATTTAAACTACTCTTATCCGTTTTACCCCCCCGCTTCCGTACCCCTTTATTATCTAACCCGTTATTATAATAGTATCCCATTCAGACTATATCCTTCTAATGTTTGATGTGTGGCGTCTGCATGTCGATCACTGAGGCACTAATACTCACTCCCCCCGTAGGTCGTCACAGTATCCTACCAGAGGCAGACCATTCTTAATGATTATAATCCTACCAGTGGCATTCCAGTGACTCGAACCTTGTCCAATCCGTCGCTAAAATCTTCCGTCATCGGTCCTCCTTTGAAGGTCGTTACGATATTCCCCCTCTGCCAAACGAAAACAAAACCTTCCTCATCGAAGACACTAACAACGCGGGATTGTTTGGTGCGCGCTTTGCAAAACAAATTTCGATCAAGTCGGAACCAGTTCCTTTCTTTTGTCCGTTGCCAGATAGAACATTCAGGTTACCTGATGTCTCCCTAGACCTAATTCAGAAACACAAATCGTTTAGAAGTCTAACACTGCTCTGGAAAGGACGGTATGCAATCCTCAACTATCAAACAGGCGTCGGACTTCCACGGAATGCTTGGTCATTTATTCTCAGTATTTATTTTGAGCGATCTTTCCCGGAAACACGGAAGACCTCAATTATCATTCCAATTTTCAAGCATGGATCCCGACCTGGTGTTAATAACTATTGGGACATGCATTAAATTTCGTCTCTAGCAAAATTCCTTGAAAAGGTCAGTTTCAATGAAATTCTTGGGTTTTGTCTATCTAATCAGCCTCCGAGTTCCGCTTTACATGTTGCTTTGCATGAAATATTTTGCGAAATATTTCAATCAGCCATTGTTAACATTGGCGCTTCTCTTACTAATGGACGGCAGTCAGTAGTAGTTATCTACTTTGATGTTAGTACAGCCTTCAACATGGTGCCACATAGACGTCCTTTGGTAAAATCGGTAGCTCTCGGCACCCGGCCTCCTCTACACGACTTCACCGGATCCTACTAGTCCAACCAATATAAGAAGGTAATGGTTGATACCAGTTACTCGACGCCACACTCGATCAAGGACGGCGTATCTTAGGGCACGAGCAGGTGTCCAATAGAGTTCCTTCTTTACATCAATGATATTTCGACGGGAATCGAAAATTCGCAAACCTCATATATGCCGATGACCTAAAATATGTGTACTCATACTCTAAGGACACCTCAAGCACTTGCGTTTTAAAAGTAACTCCGATCTACCATGCTTGCGGAAGTGGAGTTCTATTTGGCAGATGGAGTTTTCTTCCTCCAGGTGTAATTTCACGTCTTTTGGTACTGCAAAACTTTCTGGTCCCTTAATTTTTAAGAATAACCCACGGCAGAGTGCTACACCATAAAACGGACAGGTTTGAACTACACAAATAAGTTTACTTTGTTGCCTCATGCAGATCGAATTTCTGCAGAGACTGCGCAGATATGTGGCTTCATACCACAATTTTGTCCTTCTAGAAATTAAGTTGTAACTTTATCAGATGTTTGTTCTTCCCGTCCCCCAGTACTACTGCCTGTAGTGGTCAAGGACGTGAGATCAACTTAAACCACATATAATAATTTTGCTCCGTCTAATGAGAGAAACCAGAAAGTTGTGAGAACGGGTTTATTCTGTGCACAGGGCAGGTCGCCGTAAGTTGGCTGTATGCTTGTGGCAGAGGTAAGCGTTCGTTCTGGAGAGCGTCAGTTGCGGAGCCTTCAGTGTGTCGCTACCACCAAAAAAGTGTTGTGTACTTCTTGCCTCTGTCCTGTCTGTTCAAAATCACGTCCGCAAGGGCGGCGTCCCGTGTGTGCACTTGCAACCAATCAGGGATAGAAAGTTGCGTCGATTGGCTCCGAGCCCACGCGAAAGGTAGTGGCAAATTATCGACCAGGAGTGTGGCGTGGACGGGAGGGCAAATCGAGGGTTAGCGAGTGCAGCCGTGGCGCGTAAACAGTAGAACGAGGGGACAGAGAAAAGGCTGCTACACGCCCTTTCTTTGGTTTAATGAACGCCTGTGACCGTAAAAAAGTCAAAATTGTTTAGAGATTTTCTTCGAAAGCTCTTCTCTCAAGCTGCATCCAATATTTCTTGCACTAAGAACTGTCCCCTGGCATACATTAAGTTTTGTGGAGTAGAAGACTCGAAGCTGGTATTTTCTTCCTTTTTTTCGCATTAGCTCTAGCTCTATTCTTCTGCGCACTGATACTCACTCCGCGTAACTCCTCCATGGTGATTCCACCGCCTCCTTGCTTTACATCTAAACACTCCCTCTTTTTGCATTGAAATATGTCTTTCGCCAAAACCTAGGCCATCGCCTAACTTATCGGTATTTCAAACGAAATTACGCGAGCACCCTACACAGGAAGGCATAAAGTCGCTATTGAATGCTTACTTCCCGAACACTCAAATTCAGGACTTTGAAAAGGGTCCTCCTTGAATTTGATGGTAGATAATACATGTTTTGCTTGTTCAAATGGAAAATCCCACTTGTATTTTTACAACTTCTGTTTTTCATTGTCTACTAACTTCATTGTCAGTACTCCTCCCCTGCAGAGATGATTTTCGTAGTTTTTAATGTCATCGCCTCATTTCGACCCCGAGCAAATTTGCTGACGATCACGACAGAACCCTCTGTTTTCGCCATCTGCCAGTAGTTTGGCCGGTTCGCAAGGACGTCTTGTGGCAGTCCGCGCCTCCTTGCTCTTCACATCTTTGTCGCGCCGGCCACCTTTCCGCCTCACACTCGGATACTATTTTCAATATTTTCAGCCAAAACAATGGTCTTCCGCCCACGCATACTTCACTCGCGGCGCACCAAAGTAGGCTTAAGGAAGAAAGTTATGTTATCGGACGGCAATTATTTCATCGGTTATTCCATCTCACGTACATTTCGGCCAACTGCTTCTGCTACTTCTATTAACGCCAGTGAACATGACACACGTTTTCCCTGACAGCACACCGTACGGCAACCCAGAGGTTAGTGGGCTTAATGCACAGTCAACTTGGAGGCTGGGCGCGCCATGGGGTGGGTGCAGGGCAGCATTCGGCTACAAATGACGAATTTAGAATAAAGCACCGCTGGTAGGTTTGCATTTAGTCATGAAGGGAAGGAAATCCCAAACCATGGGAGTGGTGACTTATAAGTGATGTTTACAGTCACACCGGAGGCAACCATCAAGCGTCAGGTAATGAAACCAAAAGACCCGCTGCCACGGCTAGGAACGTCTGGTGTCGTTTATCGGATAGGGTGCAGTTGCGGACAAAGCAACTACGTCTGAGAAACCGGAAAACAGCTCAGAACGAGAATGGCCGAACACGCTGCAGCGGTGCGGAGGAATTACGCCAGCTCTCAAGTTGCTGTTCATTCGACGAGATCCGGCCACACATTCAAATTCGACGAGGCCGAAATTCTCGCAAGAGGTGACAAACGCGTGAGCCAGTGAATGCATACTTCGTACGGATGTCAGATGGGTGACCTCAATTATGACCGTCCTGTGGCCATTTTGATAATAAGTCGTGCGGATGGAGACAGAAATGGTACGAGAACACCTTGAAAGATTCGCGCGTATTCATCGAGTGTCTTAAGTGGCCTGAAGAGCTACCTTGCAACATTTGCAGACATGCCTATCTGCCTTAAAAATCGAAACTCCCAACTCCGAAACCAACTGCGATTAGACACGTCTGCGGCGATCTTCGCGACCAATGCCTTTTTAGCCCTTGCTACCGCCATTGACAACAATACTTTAACATCAGACAACGCAACATTGGCCCCCAGGCTTCCACACAACAGCGGACAGACCAGAGGAGAGTGAGCCGCGATTAGGCGTACAAGATGCTGGCAAAGGAGTAATTAGCGGTGCATTGTTGGCAAGTCCAGATCAAAGTACCAACAGAGGCAAACATAGATGCCAGCGTCAGAACGGGGCCGGTCTGATTAGCGCTATATGCCAGCAAGTGTCCAGGGATGACGAGTGGCATGACAGACCCGAGCCAAGGCGAGCTGTTAAAGTGGCGAGCTCTCGGATTTAGCGAATAATCAGTCGCAAGCCAGGCGGTTGCTGCTAAATATTCTCGGTCAGGCGTAATTAATGGCTCGGTGGTTGGGATCTCTCTGCCAGCAGGTGTTCTTGAGTTGGCTGCACTGTCTGGCAAAGCTATTAGAAGGTTGGCGCTAGCAGGACGCGACTAGTTGGGAAATCTCGCTTAGAATAAGAGGAGGGAGAAGCAATGCTCAAGTCATGTTTACACTACAAAACATGATTCGTAAATAAAGTTTAGAAGACCAAATAAATCCCTAAAAATTCGAGTTACTATACAGGTTGACGAGCTTTGGTAAGAGAGTTAGATAAGTACCCATCCACACAGAAAAATGAGTGACCCATGTAACCAACTCGGGTGCTTGGATGTCGGCATAGAAAAAATGGCTGGATGAGCAAGGAGAGTGATGTAGGTCGGGGAACAGAAGTCAGGCAGTCTTCGGTCCGGAAAAGCGTTCAACGAGTAGCGTGAGAAGCTGCGTAATTCGTTCTGTCATTTCGCGAACCTCTTCAAGGAGGCCAGCGTGAGCCATCGCGTTGTCCAGTAAACAGTCGATGAGAGCAGTAGCCAAGACCTTGTCCTCCGGTGAGTCTGAGGAAGATAGTTTGTAGAGATACTGAACGAGAGTGTGTTGGGGGTTTAGTTCCAACACGGGTTCCATGGCTTGGTACTTTTCGGCCGCAGGTCTGCCGGCCAATGAAGTACGCAGAAGGTGGCGCATAGCACCAGCCTCGCGGATAGATACCAGGCAAGGATGGGAGGTCAAACGTCGAGTAACCTGTTTAAAACAAACCTCATGATAGGTAACGGTCATTTGAAAATCCAAATGAACAATGAAAACAACCAACATATAATTATCAAAAAATAAGGTCCTGGAGCATCTGGATAGTACCGGCCATCAGATTAGGTTAATCAGAATCCCCGGACAGTCAACTGTGGATAGTGATATCATATCTCGTTTGAGCTGGCCTGTTCCTCTTAGTTGACTAGCTGTTTACCTTAAACCGCATTCAGTCTTATCCTTTGAAACATGCCAATTAATTCAACGAGCAATTCTAGGGACGTCGCGATTATCAAATGTCTAGTGCTAGAATCTACAGTAATGTTGTATTAATAGCAAGTAGCTCTGAGGAGGATTACTTGAATTAATCAAATTGGTTTGTGCGAAAAACACAAGCTCCATATAATCGCTTACAAAGCGTAATCTCAGCAGGCTTGTATTGCGCTTGGATCCGATAAACACGTTTAATACTCCGCGCTGAAGACTGCCCTTCGACCAATATTTTTATATACCTCGCTACCTTCCTAACATAAGTAGCAAATACTGCACACTAATGTATGGGAGGGTTGCTTGCCACTGCGCAGGCGTTATCGTCACTGACTGTAGCTCACCGCGCACAAGGCCACTTCGCTGTTCTCAGTGCCTCCTTACATAAAGAGCAACCAGTTCCACGAGAGTTTGATGCGCTTAAGCAAGCTCTTGCGATCATGGCATCTTTACCATCGCATGTTTCTGGAGTGGTATTTTGGCCACTTTTAGTGTTCCCACCCATAAAACCCCGATTTCTGTTATCTCTTTGCTGGTGGGCTATCAAATAACGTTAGCGCGATGCTGCGACTAGTCAACCTAACTTATAAGATCACACAAATAATCAAGGGAGTCCTAAAAAGTGCCAATAATCATAAATTATCTGAGCCGAAATAGCCGCTTTACGCACAACAGTTCAAAACGTAGTTGCAATAGAAAGTACTTCTGAATCCTCTTTCGTTGGCTGAGTAAATTAATGCCTATTTTTTTTTAGAAGAAACACACTACTCAAGTAGTGCCCTTTTCAAAGTGAGATGCACAAAGATGATTGGAGGGATTCTCGGTTAAAAGTTATAATTATATCGTATGAGAATTGACTTGAAATTATGCTCCCTGCTAGTCGATTCTGTCGACTCACAAAAGCAATCTTTTTCTTTCAAAAGCAGGTTTAATGAGTGTGGTCGGCACCTAACGAGTTTTGGAGCGTAATATACGTTCAGCGGTGTTTTTCCAGGGTGGAGAATGTGAGTTTTGTCCAAACGATGGTCACTATGAGAAACTCGCACGCAGTGTGCACATTAGGGGAAGAATCGCATCAAGAAACAAGGGTTTGCTGCACGGCAAACACTGAATAAATTCGCCTATCGTCAAAAAGGCGCTGACTAAAACGGCTGCTAGAAGTAACTTGGCACGTGACTCCGTACAGTACGGAAATGGCAGAAGACATGTGTACGGCTAATCTGTTGAAACGACCATGTGTAGACCAACAGATAGCAACGGCTTTGTCTTACCGGGGCACCAGACGTGAAATATCCCCAGACAAAAGAGTTTATTACAGACAATTTAGTAGTTCTGAAATAAACTAAGAAAAACAGGGCAAGAGTGGGCTCTTGAAAGATTTCGAAAGTTGGTAATTAATCTTAGGAGGAATGAGAGATAATGTCGACGGCCCAAGAGGCGAGGTGACATCCATAGCCAGCTTACCGTTTACCACTATGAACTTTGATCGGTAGAAACTTGCTGCACTCTTCTTGCACACATGCATAATTCGAGGACATGTAAGTAGAAAATAAAACGTGTACATCTTTACATGTGGAGTGATTTCCCAGAAATGTGGCCTACGGAGAAGTTGCTATCATCTCCGAGAGACGGTGGTACGTTGACGGATTGAAGTGTTTAAGTGTGGCACGGGGGAATCATCAACTGAACCAACATTCGGTTAGCTTTTGCAATAAAATAGGCAAGCCTGATCACTTAGACTGTTGGGCATGCACTTTTTTGAATGGCCTCAGGTATTGCCGAGATAGCACTATTGTCCATTAAAACACTCGGTTATTAGAACTCAAGCAGCTAGAATTTCGAGAGACCACTGTTTCCTACTCACCTTGACCTTCTTGACCTTCATATTCAGGGCTTGTTCAGCCCACTTTGTAAGTGTGTTTGCCTCATCCTGGGTAAGACCACCAGCAGATTCGGGATCGACCGAGTCGATGTTCGACGCGTCTTCTGACAGGGCTTTTTCTATTGAACTGAGATTCTTCTTGTCGTATTGTCCGAGATTCATTAGGACGAGTTCATCATACGGCTCGTACAAGAAAATAACCTAGGGGGAGAAATGAAGATTCGAAAAATGAGTGAATACAATCAGAACAAATATGAGCACAGCCAGCAGCCGCAGTACCGGAGTAAAATTATAGCATACGTCCTATATGAGTTGGGGGAACGGTCATTAGGGAAGGAACGAAGTGGTATACGGTGAGCACCGGTGGGACAAGACTGTTAGGCTCTGTAGACAAAAACAGGTATTTTAAACAGGGAATAAAACAGCTGCGGACATGACACTCCGACTATGACGTTGTACACAGTTATATTTATCATATTCTGCTCATATTAGGGGTTAATGGCTGGAGGAATGGTCGCAGATGGAGGCGAGTGGTGCCGAAGTAGGTAACGTCTAGGCACTTCTGAAAATCCAAATCTTCATCAAACTCAAAAGAACTCACGTCCGACGCCTTGATGGTTTATACAGGGCTACCTAATAGATTCAAAGGTTCAGAAATCTAAATCACATCTAATTTTACAGACTGATGTAAAAAGGGCAGCAGCAGAAGGCTGTCGTTTGAATCCACAGTACGCGGGGCAACCACCGGCCAGTGGAGCCATGATCAGCCCAGAAAACTAATAGTTGTCTCCTCAAACAGCCTGGGTTGAGTTTCACAATGACAGCTTCTCTCATTAACTTGGCAGAATAACGGCAATACGTCAAATGAAATGTAAAGTCATTGGACTGGGGTAGGGATCTTCGCGGTGTTACAAATGTTAGTGACGCGCAAAACCCATAATCATGTTCGCCAAGATGGTGATGCAGACCATGCACTGACCCACTTGCTTTATGAGGTGAATGTTAACTTTAGTGTCAACTAAACGAACGTCAGGTGTCAGAGGATGCGGTCCAAACGGCCTATTCACTTTGATGACCAAACAGTTGCCCCATCTCACATTGGAAATTTTGTGTCCGTCATTCTTGAGTCTACTAGCTGCCGCGAAAGTTTGTTTCGGAAGGTCGAGCAACAACAAGATGACCGGAGCGGATGCCATCTCTGTTAAGGTCTACGACCACTACGAAATCCTATGGAGGCAGACTGCATTGTCTAAGTAAATGGAGGAAGGTGAAACCCTGGCTTATGCCTCCTCAAGAAATAGACAACAGGGAGCGTGAGAACAAGTCTACCTTAAATTGCTGAAAAGGTTTCTTCTGTCGTCATTCTCCGGCGGTTCCCGTGATGCGAATATGACATCTGGCCAACCCCAAATTTCGGGTCGCATGTTAGGACACAAGCCATCTATTTGCCCAACGAGTTCTACAATTCCGCCGTGGATGCGAAAAGTCGAAAATCGGGTTTACGTAATTTGCTGGTGCGTCTGACCCTAATGAGTTTGCGGAGGCAATGGGCTTAGATAGTGCACCAAAAGCTACGACTGAGATCGCCAGGGATACAGCCTACCGCTATCCCATTTAAGCGTCATTGACTGGAATCCTGGAACTACATGTGCCTTTGACAGTGTCAAATTTGTATAAAAAAGTCAAGTAGCAGACCCCAATGACGTTGGCCTCGTCGTCTTGCCATGTTCAGACTATGAAAGTCTAAGAACGTAATGTTTTGGATGAACTAGATCTCACAGCCAGACGGTCTGCCCGAAAAAACGCTGCAAAATTAGTGCTCTCGAGCCGTATGTTTGAACAAAAAACCGCACGCCTCGTGATTAACCGTCGTCAGATTTGGGATGTAAGCGGTTTAAGACAGCATAATTTATCGGTGGAAAAGCCTAGCCAACGTGATGGAGAAAGGTGTTCCTGGACCTTTGAAATGTCCCATAATCGCTGCACCCCAAGTCCTCCATCCAACGCGTCCCTCACTTATGCGTGATCACCATTTAGCGAAAATGCAGCAGAGTAGCCCGTTTTCACCACCACAGAAGAGAGCGTTCAAAACCACGACCCTGTCTATATAAAAAGGCGCCGCGGCGACGTTCTTTGGCGTCAACAAAAGCATTTCACCCACTCTTCTGTGACAATTGTAATTTCTTAATCGGTCATTTAAATTCCGCTTTATAGCGATCAGAATATACAACGGCCTATACTCGTAGTGTCTGTGGATGCGACTCAAGGTTAAATGTACTGAGAGTTTGACGTACGATCTACAAACCCTGGGTTCATGCAAATTACTCCTCAGTAACAAAAACAATTGCTTCATTCCTGAAACTAGCTTAGCTGCTCTACGTCCACGCGGAGTCCGATCGCCTACACTTACAGTTTGATGCAACAGCAATGCCAATATCACTGATAAAGCAGGGTAGGAAGATGACATTTACGGAAAACTCGATCAGAGAGAACTATAGAAAACATGGATAAAAGTAATGACCCTTTCAACAGGAATGGTTCCAGACGAGGCAGGACGCTGACTCTGTTAGTAGAGGGTTAAAGGCGGAGGCACAACACTTTTTGAAACTAAGAAGAGGTTGTGGTAAGTACACCAAGGTGTTTAAATGCATGTGCACTTCTGCATCTGAAAAGGTGAAAAAGATGTGGTCAAATCAGTTCTAACCTCCGTGTCAGGTGATTTCTTCCGAATCGCTTCGAAGTAGGGCGAGGCTTCAGCCAGATGACGATTTGGCGCCGATAGGAAATAGATGTTGCGTTCGCCGGCGCGCATTCTTGAGGCGTACTCATCAAAGCTGGTAAGTTCGCCCGCAGGCAGGGCACTGGACTCATAGCGCAGTACCCTAGCAATATCCTCACGGGTGGACTGATCAGTCTCGGTCACGATGCCCTCCTTGAGGTAAAGACCGAAGTCGGACAGGAATTTGGAAAATTCTTTGGGGTTTTTCTTCGCCTCAGCCTAAAATAGAGCAAAGCGGCTAGGGGTAATCATTACGTGCACCTGTGTGAGAAAGCACCACATGACCCACAAGGAGGCCAAACGACGGAAAACAATGTGAACGGATAAAAAGTAACAGCAAACACATTCAAATGGAAAAAGGCGGTAACCACTAGCTTTCAAGGCCTATTTCATAGTACAGTGAATAGGTGGTAGGCACGTTCCAAATCCACAGAGATGGTGCAAACTTTAATTAAGATGAAAAAAACTCACAAGGAGAAAGCGCAGCAATCGGGCCGTCAGGATACGATTAATTCGGTGAATAAGCCCGTGGTCCTGAAGCAGTTCACGACTCAAATTAAGAGGGATATCCTCGCTGTCTACGACGCCCCTAATGAAACGCAGCCACCTCGGGAGAAGTTTTTCCGCTTTGCTCATGAGGAGAACCTAAAAGGGAAGCGGGGACTGTGTTGACTGGCACCATAACCATTAGAAAAGTATACAAAAGTTGATGCGCACCATTGGCCGGCAACTGGATAGTGAATGCGGCCTAGGCCACAACCAATGCAATTGGCTTTTGGGGTGGCCTGTGGGAGTAAATCTATAGAGATCGATCAACCAACGATGAAGGGGAGTCATCGGACGCCCAACAAGAACAACGAAGTCCCGCTCATCATATAGGGTCAAGCTTAGAGTTTATTATGCCTGTATAGCCTATGCTACGCGCCGTTACGTGACTGCGGGCGGGGCTCGTGGGGACCCCAAGGTACAACGAGACAAGTGAGTTCCGTAACGCGATCGGTGAGCGCCCCTCTACCAAGCAATATAACTGCCCCTTTCGAACAAACTGAAGTAACTTTGATGTGTTACAATGAGTTCAGCTTTAGATGAAACAAAGTCGAAGCGCCACGCTCAAAGGATAAGTCTTGATAAACCCCCCAGATACCTTCGTATTTTACATGCTTAGTGTGACATTCATAACACTAAATGCGCACGAACCTACAGACTGACAAAACTCAGGGCGTCTAAATATAGTGTTGATGGCTAGCGAAGAACCCATGAGCGGCAGCGTTCTCCTGGGTTTTAATCAGTATACACCTGACCTTGGTAAATCGAAAAATATTCCCTTCAAGCTGACAGTTGTTAGCCATAACAGGTGTATTGTCTTGATAAGAAGCGCAGTTGAAGGATGCCCTCGTTTTTGCAGCGACCTACAAAAAAATCGTGAATGACTTCGCCTATGATAGACAAGAAAATCAAGGAGACCGTCGTATAAAGCAAGGCAATGACTTCAACGTAGCGAAGATCGCTCGGCCGACATTCCAGAGCGAGTTTTACACAGAGTCAAAGCACCCAGGCAATAATGCAGTTAAGCATGACGGTTAACAGAAGGCACAGCTGAGTGACTGGGAGTTTAAAGAAGTGATGAGAACTGGAAGTTACCCAGGGCGAGAGAACACATGAAGTGGTGCAATTCCTGGACATAAATGTGGTTCGAGGGAACACTTAACTTTAGGAACGGAGAGAACATGGAGACTCGCGGTAACCGAAAGTTGCAACAAACTCCACAAAACAGACGGCCGCTGGAGGTTGATAACAAATGATTTCGAGGTTGAGCGGACGTGAATGCTTGTCTGAGAAAACCATGACCAAAGTAAAAGTAGGTTGACTAAGTTGCATCCTCCTCTCACAAGTCCACTCAAATCATGTGGGAATGACGATAGCAAAAAAGCTTTTCTTGCAAGTTAGAAGAGATACAGGTCCTAGTGTTTTTCACCCTTCCTTGAAAGAGAGGCAAGGATGACCAGACCCAAGCATTTGACCATGGCGTGTAGGTCAACATGTCACTCCCTCCGAGCGTTTTGATGTAGAGCAGTGACGGCATTGCGACTGGAACTCTACGAACGGAGGACCAGAGAAGGCTCCGTTGCATAGAAGACTATCCTTCCAAGATGAGACAGGTAATTAGCGATATGTAACTGATGCCAAATCGTGAGGACTCAATGTGAGGATTCTTACCGCACTGTTGATGGATGTATGAGGTGTCTTTCATGCTCGACACTTGCCCCACAAAACAGCCTTAGTCCAATAGCTTTTATAAGCTTGTCTGCCCTAATTTTTCCTCCTTTTAGGAATAAGTCGAGATTTAGCATGAGTCACCCGAACTTATAGTTACTTACTAATACCTAATACAGCTGTGGCTACCCTTTACTCAGCCAGACTCGAAGATGTCGCGGATTCTATCTCGCCAAGCGCGACGATCGGGGGCAGGGGATCTAGGAAGGTCAACGCATTTTCTCTTTAAGCGACGGAGACCGAATACCGAAGGTCCAAGGATAACTGTAATGCGTTGAAGAACAGTGACGAACCAGGTGTGGAGTCGACCTCCTCTTTGGCGTCTTCAGGTGGGTAACGGCGCCGGTGCCCCTACGCAGGTGCCAACAGGGCAAGGAGTGGTAATATAAGAATGAAATGTGTGGCTGTGGATCTACGACCATTTTGCACTGTCTTTGTCCAATCTGGCTGAAGGGCGATAAGAATTTCTTCTCCACGGCCTCAATTTCGGTCAGCTGCTACCGAAGGCGTCTTAACAAGTACACGGTTTTAAACGATGTATCTGATCTATGCTTCCCATTGCCACAGCAGGAACAAAGGACGAAGCAACGCATTATATTAGCAGATTGAGAAGCCCCCTGCCCTAATCAGGTTATTCAGAGCGGCAGCACATCATTTTGGCACTAAGGTAATATCCGCAGCCTCAATCAGAACACCTTTTTCAGGTAAAATGATGGATTTGAGAGCTTCGGCAGAAGAATAGATTACAATAAGTCGGCATTTTTACTTCGACGAAATTTATCTTATTAGGGACTGGTTTAAAAACGAGCAGTACCTGATAAGCTCGTCGCGGTAGGACGAGTGAAACAGAACACCCACCAGATGAATCTGATTCTCCAGTAATGAAACGAAAGAATCAACGTCAAGCAGTCCGGTCCCTTGAAAATCCGCATCAGTTCGTTGGAAAACCACCGGGGGTTTGAAGTGATGACATGGATGCAAAACGAGCTATTTGCAATCGCATGGACTGAGCATCCAAATGCCGAGCTTTAGACACTTATCCCAAATAATCAAGGATAAACCAAAAGGCGGTCAACAGTGTCTTTAAATGAATCAAATCGTACTATACTCTACTGGGGGAGTATTCGCTGCGTACTTTTTACCTAGGATGGAACGAAGTGAGGTTGAAGCCTCA